ACCCTCCATCGTTGAGGTTCTAACGTACGAGGAGCCCCGGTACACACGGACAGCCTCTGTGCTGGGCAAAGTTATATTCAAATCACACGGTACTCTCAGCTGCCTTGGAGGCGGAGTCTGGAGGCGGAGTCTGGAGGCGTCACTGAACCTATTTTGCGTTATAGCGCCCCTCCCTTACACTTTTTTTGCCGCGAAACCGGTACAGGATTGTTCGTCGCGGACCACATTACCCTCCCAACGCCATATTTTTGACTTCTATGCCTAATCGCTGACCGTGCCTTTAAGATCTCAGTGTTTCTCGAGGCTTATCAAAAACCTCAGGTGGAGGGGGAGGAATAAACATCCGACCAACTAATAGTGATAGGAAAATCGTAAGGTGATGAAGGATCCTTCAAGAAGAAGGGAATTGTACTGAACGAACATTTCGCCCATCGTTCGCCATAGCGTGTAATGTGTAAACAGAATTGGCTCGAAAATAAAAATAAATTAAACAATAAGGGCAGTACAATAGTGTGGAATGTTAAGAGGGCCTTTCAAAGAGTATTATGCGTACATCTTCGAGGGGAGTCATGAAATCTGGGTTAAGTACAATCAGATTCCACTGTGACGGAAAGGAGAAAAAGGATAAGATGTAACTAGGAACCTTGGGTCTTTACCCATAATGTGACCGTCCTCTCTATCGTCTTACAAGAGATGAGCGAAACCTAGTATGTCTCCGCCCTTCCTCAATCAGCGGAAAAAGCCTTCAATGTGGCTAGAGTAGGGCAGGCCACGTCTCTGTATAAGATTAATATGGAGTGGAAATGATGCTTGTATTAGCTGTGGCGAATAGAGCAACAACTTAAGATCTCAGAGGAGAAGAAAGCTTGACGCTGTGTGACGCTTGTAAGACCAGTCTTGAAACCGCGCCTCTGATGGGACGCCTTGAAGCACATTTGTCTTATGGAGGGGGAAAGCAGCCCCACCTGCCATTGTGTATTCTTTGGTGGCGCGCCCCTCTTTCTGAAACGCCGTGAGAAGACCTGCTCAAATGAGGAAAGCAACACGTTAAGGCCTGCCCACTCCTCAGACCGTTAGCGTGTAGCTAGTGCCTATAAACTTTCTGCCCTTCTAACCAATAGTAATAGCGGAGCAGTAAATGGCAAAATTAATACTGAAATATCCCCTTTTCCACTTGTAACTGCTTCAGAGTCAACTCAAACTCGCGAAGGACATGGGTTATCAAGAAGATGTCGTTCTTGCTGCACTGGCCACATTGGAGAAGGACAAGAAGGGGTGGTTGCGTTTCATTAGCGGATCAGGTTTCCCACCAGACACAAGAAGCGGAACAGGAGAGTTTTTCAGTTATATCTCACCATTTCGAAAGCCAAAACGCCATGCTAGCATTCTGAAGTAAACCTTCGTTTAGCTCAAGTGATTCATTAGGAAATGGCGTTAACGACCTCAGGTTCGTATTTTGCCAAGTCAGGCCATTTGACTTATGCTGGTCGTATGGGCGTGGTCAGGCTTGCCATGGTGCTTATCGCGATCCCTCTTCTTCGAATGAGAAGGAGGGAACACAGAAATGGCAGGCCTCACCCTCCAACAGTCAACCTCATTGTGCGTCCATTACTCAATGGCACCCTATGGAACTTTGCGGCGTTCAAGACGAATCGCAGTCGCATCGAAGAACGCCGGCTCACCTTCCTCAAGTCCACGAAGTGAACAGCTCTCGCGACTAATTCGAACATTCGAACGGGAGAAAATCCGCGATCGTGAAGCTGGCCGATAGTCATATGGCCAGGCTCAAGGTAACTATTACTAGTAATTTTTGAGGTCAAATTCGCCATCTTGCAATCCAGCGATGAGCGTGGAAGCGACTTGCCGACTCACCTCAATTATGAGCGAATAAAAATGATGCCAAACGCGCTCCACCGCTAACCGCGCGGTCGCACGCTTCCACCTGCCGGATTGAAAATCGATACCTATCTAGTGTTAGTCTGGGATCAGACGAACTGCAAACGAGTCGCGAGCTACGAACGCCTCCTAGCCCTTCTTGTCCGTAAATAATTCAGGATTTTCAGGCGCGGATCCACGATCTCGAGCGAATCAACGATCAGCACCAGATGACAGAGAGGGAAATGCGAGATCGCCTACACGAACTTCAACGTCGCAACGAAACTTTGGTGAGGAACTTTCAATAATGATAGTGAGCTAGAGCTGCTGGTTGTAAATAGAGCGAACGGCTGAATCCGCCGGGGTGAGCAATCTCTTATGGGATGCGCCACGTATTCCACTGCATCCGCACTTCTGAACAGACTTTAGTGGAATTGGACTAGCATATGAATTTGGCTAACGGCTCACTTTGGCGTGAGCACTTTCGCCCGCCGGGGCGTGACTTTTGCCCGTAACTCTGCATTCTTGCGGTATTTTTGCTATCACGCATTAGCAACCATGGTGAGGAGGTTTAACTAGCCTTGATGTGGTACAGTCACGTATCGTGCAGCTACAATTGCCCCTCCTACCAATACACAATGTCGCCCGTTAACAAAAAAGCAGTACGTTGGTCAGGAGGTCCCCGTTATGTCGCGGTGCAGAAGTCAGGTCATCGCGCACGCGACAAAGTGACGAATCGTCCTTTGGAGACCGTGGTGACCGCTGAACGCACGCGACACCTGCCGAACATGGAAAGGGCAAAACGAATCATCTGTGTTTTGTGGCCTTTTCGGGACGACTATTTTTTTTTTTTGCGGGACGACTATTTCTTTTTTTTCTTTTTCTTTTCTCTGTAAATTCCTTGTCCAGCAGGCCGAAACTAAGAAGATTTCACAAAAAAACCTTCGGCGTAAAAACAAAAAATAAACCCAATAAGATGCTGCTTTTATTTAATTCTTGCAGAATGTAGAATACAAGAAGAGCGAGAGAGAAAAGGACCAGCTAAATCAAACAGTGGTCGAATTGCAGGCACTGACAGATCGTTTGGTGAGTTATTAATTGCTCTTACCAGTGTGCTTAGTCGGTGGTCAGGGAGCGAGCTTGAGTTTTGCGCGGGGGCCACGTTGCCCACCAAATCGTATGACGCTGGCAAGCGACCGGCAGTTGGGAACATAGGGCGTGGCGCCTCGCGCCCGCGCCCCCGGCGCCGAACCCTGCCCCGCTGACTCACTCCAGCATCCACTATGTTTGTTCAACGCGAGGATTATAAGGCAGTTTGTAGTTTCAGACATTGGAGAATCTTCGAAATGAACATCAAGCGAAAGATCAGAAGGAGTTAGCCGAACACCGAAAAAAGCAGTACGATCAACAGATATCTGCTTTGGAGGAGGTATGTCACTCGAAGTTCTTCCGCGGACCCCATTCTACTGGTAACCAAATATGCGCAGATCTGCTCAGTATGGTCGCGGCTGAGAAGGGTAATTGTGTAAAGGTCTTTCCGATCTTGTCTTTGGCCCCGAATTTTCGTTCAACCCCTTCTTAGTTTTTACGGGAGGCGATTTTTGTAGTCGTCCTTTGGCAGCGTTCAGACTTCGCGACGCGCAGCGCTTCCTGTCGCGCGTTCGACGCGATCGATGCAGTCGAAAGCATGCGCATCGATCGCGCCGAACGCGCGACCGAAGTGCTGCCGTCTCAAACGCTGCCATTTGGTGTAATGGGGGAGAGTATGGTAATGCACAACTCCCCTGGACATGTGAAACAATGGTCAGAACACGGTGTGTGCTAGAAACGGCGGGATAAAGAACTGTCTTGTTAGCAACGAAATGCGTACCACCAGGGTTCTTTGGCACACACCTTCGTGTCTCTGTATGGTGATCTCCATAACCTTTACTACTTTTTCAGTCGATTCGAACCCTCACTGAGCGATGTAACGCTTTAGCGGCGGACCTCAAAGAGAAGGACAAGCAGTTGCGCGATAAAACTAAGCGAATACAAGAATTTGAAGATCGAAACACCCAACTGGTTCGTCTCAGACTTTGAATAATTTCCTTCTAGCTTTCCAGATCTTATAGAAACCCATATTAAGCAACCGGAGCCCGTTCGCTGAAACAGTAATGAACCGAATATGCATCTAAAAGCGAAAAAAGGAAAGAAAAGAAAAACGAAAGGGAGCCAATGAGATTTTTTTAAATTAGAAAAAAAAATACAAATATCACGAAACAATTGGTAAGTATTGCATGGACGCCGTCGTAGCGCAGTATTGTACTGTAATCAAGTCAACGCTTAATATTTTAGTTGCTGAAGTTCTTTGAGATTTATGGTCGCCTTTCCTAGCTACCAAGGAGTCCTCCCAACCTACAAAGATTTATCCCTACCGAACATCGCCAGGCGTGGCTGCGTACTCCATTTGAACATGGCGGATTGGTTACTCGTGTGATGTTTTAATCTGGGGCAGCTGCCACCTTATCTTGTGCTGCATAATGATATGCTAACATTTGTCCCGAAATGAAATATTCCATCAGTAGCGCAACGGTCGCGACGTTCAAGTGAAGTACATAGCCACGCCTACCACATCTCAGAGAGGTTTACAGGGTACAACATCGTTGTGTGAAACACGTGGGGGTCTACTTGGCCGCTGGGAAGAGGGGGAGGGTCGCATGTGCTTTCAAGAAAATTTGTCGCGTCAGGGAAAAATTGCCCGGTTGATTTTTCGCGGTTTTTCCCGTTTCACAGGTGCTATATAACACCCCCCCCCCCCGGCTCGACGGAAAATTTTTGAGTGGAGAACTGGAAAATGTGGGGAAATTTCGGAAAAGCTGGTAGGAAGCTGGGAACTTGCTGAAAAATTGGAACTTGAAAGGGTAGATTTGAGGTAGGGGGGGGGTCGTACCGAGACCCTATCTCAAAAAGGGGGGTCGTACTGATACCACCATTTCACACATCACGATGCTGTACCCTGGGGGTTTAAAGTATTTATCGCTACACATACGCTTGCCTGACGTCTTATTTGTCGTCTTGCTGTCTGTTCATTTATACTTACAAGTGTTCCTTTTTGTTTACTCATTCTTAATTTTAGCTTGTTTGTCTATCTGTTAGTTTTCTGTGTTTGCAAAGACATTGCTGTTTTGTTCTGGTCGGAAGATGGACTAACTTTTGAAGTTCGATGTTCAACGTCAAGGCCGAAAAAACCTCTATCTCAGCTTCCATTTTTCAGTTAGCGTCATTTCCTCGTCTGGAGGAGCAACGCCGACGTCTGGAGACTGAAAAGGAGCGCGCTGTTGAAGAAAGCGAGCAGTTACGCAGAGAGATCTCACGACTCAGGGAGAAAACTTGTGCTGAATGCTGCATATGTCTAGCTACAAAGGTATCTTCTTCATGACTCCTTGACATGACTAAAAAGTCTTTCTCGCCGTCATAGAAGGTGGGAAAGGAGGGGCGCGCCAGTAATGTCTTTCCCTGGCTCTGCTGCTCAGCGATCCCGAGTAGTTTTCAAAGGTACAGTTATTATATGGTACGGACAGAGTCAGACATATCATTGCGCCTTTTTCATTAGTTCCTTTTCCTCTTCATCGCCTGAAGAAGCT